AGGTTTATATCTTCCTCTCCACTCCTGTGCTTTTCACTTTTGTACTAGAATGTCAAGTACAATACTGGGTTGCACTTTGCTTGATTGATCGAACTATATGAGATACTCATAACACTTCATAATTAATAATGTACACTATACTTTTATAGATTTCCTGTACCTGACAGCTCCCTTCCCTTTCTAGTTTACCTTTAAAAAAAAAAACCAAAACTAAACAAAACAAAAAACCCCAAAACTATTACAGTGGTTGAATTTTATTAAGTGATTTTCATGCCTATTCTGAGAAAATGGTTTTTTCTTTATTAATGTAGCAAGCAGTGCTTTTAATTTTCTAATGTTAAGCTTGCCCTACTATATTCAACTTGATTATGGCATATCACATGCTTTGTGTTGCAAATAATTTATATTTGTATTACTCTCTTGAGTAAGGTTGACTTGTATTACTTCTCATACTACTCTTGAATTTTGGCATGATGGCTAAGCTGGTCTTTATCAATGAGTGTTTTTCTATTTTGTTGGATTTGTAGACACGCAAAATGATCCATTTCTCAATATGCAAGAGGAAATCTTTCTGAGCTTGCTTTCTTTCCACTTACTAGGGTTGTGATTACTAAAATATAGGAAGTACAATGAACATCTTTGTGCTTATTCCTTTCACTTTCTTTAACTTTCTTCTTTGCCTCTCTCTGAGTGATTTAATTTCCCCTTTACCAACTAAGAGTAGTGAACACCATTGACTTTTAATTCTTACTGGAATTTTATTAGACGTTATGTAAGTTAAAAAAAAAAAAGTTAGTACCACAATGTCTCTTCTGAATATAAGGACCTTAAGAATACTAATTTTGATCCTTCTTCCAAACTTACTTGCTAACGTTAGTCTTTTTAATCTTTTAAATGACCAAATTAGATACTGTTTGCTAATGTTTTGCCACTTTTTTTTGTTTTGTTTGGTTCCAGGGATCCAACCTGGATCCCTGCGCTTGTAAAGCAGGTGCCTGTACCACTGAGCTAAATCCCTGGCATGGTTTGCCACTTTTAAAAACCATCTCATTAAACTGGATTTCAAGTCTTTTCTAAACTTATGACACTACTATACTTTGTAGGCTAAACTTAATCTGGCCAACAAGTAGTGAGGCTCAACATCTAGTTTAATCAATTATATGAATTAATAGCTTCTGCAAATTCTATATGGGATTATAGACCTTCACATAAAAAAGAACAGAGAGGGACATTTTTATTCCCTTTCCATTATGGCAGTCTCACAACTGTCATTGTAGGATTTCTACAAAAGCCATTCAGTCTACTACCTCTAATGTAACCTCCATGCTGCAGCCTAAGTGATTTTACTAAAGTACTTTCTAAGAAATTTCCAAACTTTTGACTATAGAACAAATTCCCAACTCCTTAAGGTTGTTTATGAAGGCATGTCTCTTGTTTTTTAGCTTCAAAGACAAAATCCAACATCTATTCATGATTAAAAAAAAAAAACAAACTAAAAAAAACAGAAATAGGAGGATCTTACCTCAATTTGATAAAAGCCATTTATGACAAACCTACAGCCAACATCAGACTAACTGGGATAAAATGAAAGCTTTCCCTGTAAATCAGGAACAAGACAAGCATGTGCTCTATCACGACTCCTGTTCAACACAGTCCCTGTAATATTAGCCAGAGCAAACAACAGAAATAAGTGATACATATAGAAAGTAAAATCATCATTATCTGTAGATGACATGATCTTCTACATACAAGACCCCAAAAAGTTCTATCAAGACTCCTAGAATAGCCAAATTCAGCAATGCTGCAGGATACAAAATCAACACACAATTGACAGTGCCAATTGTCACTTCTGTACACTAGCAAACTCACTAATAAGTTATAAAAACAATACTATTTAAAACAGGAGCAAGAAAAATTAAATACTCAGGAATTAACCTAACCAAGAAAGTAAAAGACCTCTAAAAGGAAAATTACACTACTCTGAAAAAGGACATCAGAAAAGAGGACATAAGAAAATGGAAAGATATCCCATTCTTAGATAGGCAGAACCAATATAGTCAAAATGGCTGTACTTTATGTCACCACTGTGTATAAATGTTACATTTCCTTTATGCATTCATCTGTTGATGGACATATATGCCACTTACAAAATTTAGCTATTATGAATCATGCTGGTATGAACATGAGTATGCATGTATCACTGTAATATAATGTCTGTCAAAAAGAAAGATAAACTTAAGTCATTTGTAGAAAAATGGATGCACCTTAAGGCTATAATATAAAATGAAATAATCATACATGCAAGCTTAAATATCCCATGGTTTCTACTATATGAGAAACCCAGTTTATAAAAAAGGGCAAAATAAAATATAACAGGAAGTAGGTAGACAGATCTTCCTCAAATGGGAAGGGAAACAAGAGATGGAAGGAGTGAGGGAGGGCAGGGAGGGAGAGGGGAGGAAAAAAGGAATTAAGATGTTATGCACATGCACTGACCCCACACAAAGAACGTTAACATTATGTCCTATAAACACGTACAAGTAAATGAATTTTAAAAATAAACATAATGCATCTATTTGCAAGAGTAACATAAAGAGAAATAGGACTAGAGCTTATTTTTAAGAGTCTACACTGTACTTCCAAAACTGATACATAGATTTAATGCAAGCATAACAAAAACCATAAAGAAACCCAGGCACACTTTAGCTATTTCATCTTTGACAAAGGGGTCAGAAACACATAGAGGAAAAAGGTCTTTTTGATAAATGGTATTAGGGAAACTGGCTATCCACATGCAGAAGACTGAATCTAGACCATGTCTCTCACCATGTGCCAAACTATAATCAAAATGGTTTAAAGACCTAAATGTTAAAACGGAAAATACTTAAGCTGCTAGAAGATAAAACAGGTAAAACTCTTGAAAGCACAGGTACAGGCAAGGACTTTCTGAATAGAACCCCAAGAAATAATACTAAGAATCAGCAATGTGATCTTATCACATTAAAAAGCTTCTGCCTAGCAAAGAAAGCAACAAAGAGAGTGAAACAATAACCTACAGAATGAGGAAAAACAATTGCCAGCTCTTCCTTGGACAGAAGCCTGACATCTGGAATACACAAAAAACTCGAAAAATTAAGATCCCCTAAAATAAAAACCCAATCAAAAAATGGGCAACCAGAATGAATAGGCATTTCTCAGAAGAAATAAAAATCCCCAATAGATAAATGAAAAAATGTTCCATATTGCTGGTCATTTGAGAAATGCAAATTGAAACAACACTGAGATTCCACCTTATTCCAGAAAAAATGGCCATCAAGAAATCAAGTAATAACAAATGCTAGTGAGGCTGCAGGGGGAAAATGCAACCTTTCTACATTATTGTTGGGGATGTAAATTACTATAATCATTATGGTAACCAGTGGAGATTCCTCAAAATATTACAACTAGAAATTCCATTTGATCCAGCTATTCCTTCTAGGTATCTTCCCAAAAGAATTAAAGATATCATATTATATTGATACATGCATGTCCATGTTCATAGCAGAACTTATAATAGCTAAATCTTGGAAATGGGCTATATGTCCACCAACATCTGGATAAAGAAAATGTATTTATCACATACCACCATAAAGGAATATAAACTTGAATCATTCACAGAAAAGTGGCTGTAGCTTGAGACCATAATATTAAGTGAAATAAATCAGACATATAAGCTTAAGTATCACATGGTTTCTCTTATATGATGTTACGGCTTGTGTCTAGATGTTCTCCCAAAGCCTCAAGTAGTCCAGAGGTGGCTGGATCTAGGGTGTGTGACTGAGTCATGGTACAATGCTAAGATTAAGGGTGCTAGAATTAAGAGGAGATGATTACTAAATCAGTCCACTTACTGGTTTGACACCACCCTAATCCCAGCAGCCTGGATACAATATAAGGAACAGAAAGAGGCTTGTCTTGTCTATTGATTGCTTTGCTTCCTTCTGCCCGCCATGAACTATTTGTCTTCTGCAATGCCTGTACGTTATGCCACCCTGCCTTGGAATCAGCCAATTATGGACTGAAACCTCAACAAACAGTGAACTAAATAAACCTTTCCTCTCTTAACTTTGGGTGTTGGGGCATTTTGTTTCATCAACAAGGGAGAAGCGAATACAACATATGAGAAATCCAAAATATAAATAAAAGGGAAAACAAAAGATAGGTAATAGGAAATAGGGAGATCTTTCTCAAATGAGAAGGGGAACAAAAGATGGAGAGAGGAGGGAAGGAAGAGACGGAAAAAGGATGAAAAATTTAAAAAAATAAGAGATAGAGCTTTTGTAAATGCAAAGGGGAGCAAATGATGAAAGGAGCAGGGACGGAGTAAAGGGGTAGAGGATGGAAAAGAATTAAGATGAGTTATGTACGTATTATAATCTCCCATGATAATCATTATGAACTGAAAAATGTCCTAATAAAAAATTTAAAAAGTAAAGATATGTATCAGTTGGTTCAAATGTTGATTACAATATGACTTTTGCACAAGGTATTAAAAGATGGACAATCAATACTAAAATAGGGCTTCAACTACATTTGGACAAAACATTCAATAAATTAGTTCTTGCACATACAAAAAAAAAATCAAAAAGCCTACCTAAGAAATTTTTTTTTTTTTTTTT